TTCGTTGGTCTTTTCGACAGCCTAGTGGACGCCCGGAGCGACTTGACCCCGAGCCAAAAGATGGTGTACCTCCTGGCCTCACTGGAGGGGGAGGCCCTGGGCGTCGTCGGCCACTTGAGATTGTCGGACGACGCCTACCAAACTGCTCGGGACCTCCTAGCCAGAAGATACGCCAACGTCCGGCGAATTGCGGACGAACATGTTAAGCAGCTTCTAAGCCTCCCGCTGCTTAGTGACCGGGCCAGACTGCGTCCGGACCTGTTGGATCCAGTCTTGGTGGCCTGTAATACGTTGAGGCGGCTGGGTTTACCAGTGGGCGAATGGGCTTTTTTGTTGCTCCGCATCGTGCTGTCCCGTTTACCTCTCGACCTTCGAATCCATTTTGAGGAGAGGTACGGCGGGGACGAGGCCTCCTATCTTCCGCCCTTCTATGACTTGCTGAGGTTTTTGGAGGAGCAGTGCCGGCAGATAGAGACCGCGGCGGGCACCGTTGACGACTTACGAGCCGTGCCCAGTGAGAGGCTGAATCTTCCAGGCAAGTCGTCGTCAACCCCCCCCCTGCTCCTATTGTCGAGCATCTGATCACCGGGTAACGTCGTGCCCGAAATTATTAGGTAAGCCGGTTCCAGTGAGGCGAACTATCGCCAAGGAGCGCCGCTGGTGCTGCTCATGTTTGGGAGGACACCTCCAGCGAGACTGTCCGCATCGGCGGCCCTGTCTGCATTGCCAGGGCAATCATCATGCCGTTTTGTGCCTGAGTGCGAACGGCGTCTCCTCTCGGGGCTCTGCCAGGCCCTCGACCCCCACGGGCGGGGGCGCTCAGCCACGCCCTCTGCCGGGCGACTCTCGGCGCCCGCCGGCCAGCCATCAGGCCCCTAAGTTTGAAAGGGGTCCCTCCCCCGACCAGTCGGGGGGTAATTCCCCCAGGGGCGGGGGTGTCATCACCCCCCCTAAGCGTGTGGAGAGGAACTTCACGGCCACTCATCGGTCCGCTGGACCCTTCTCACTCCTGTTAGCTGAGTGGCCGCGACTGGTGTACCACTGTTCCCCATTTGATGGAGGCGGCCCTGGCTAGCTGCTGCATTAGCTCCCACCACGACCACCTCCACTGAGCCTTAAGCCGTCAACAGTCCACTTGTCAAAATGTTCTGTTGCCGACGGCATCAGTGAAGGCGTACAACCCGAGTGGCGACTGTTAGCGATCTCGGGTTCACGCCATGTGGCCTCCACTTGGTGGTGGGAAGATTAGGGCCCCTCTGGAGCGTTGAATCACGCTGTCAAGGGGTATTAGATTTGGTTTGGTCGAGCACTTAGTCAAAAAATACTTGAATTAAAATTAAAAATTGCTTTGGGCTTTCCGCGAAATTTTCCTATTTGTAGCGGTTTAAATTAAAAGAATTTAATTTAATCCGCTCCTTTAAATGCTACTGCATGTGTTTTGTACATATATTTAATCACTGTATTTGATTGTTGCGTCTGTTTGCTGAAAGGAAATTGAATGGCGCGCTATTTGAAAAATTATGTAACATATACATAGATAGTGTTTAATCATTTTGCTTTGCGAAGAAGTAGGGCTGTCCCTTACGTTATTGTTTTGTTTAATTTGCAAGTTGACTTATGCGCATCGGTGATTAATTTGGTTGAATTAATTCTGTAGTTGAACATTGATGCTTTTGAAAAATTAGTTGAAATATGAGCATAGTACTACTTGCCTAACAGGCTAGCTAGTTTTGGAGATTATCAGATTGAAATCAGCTGCCGCACTATTTTAGTAAATGATAATATGGTGGGTGGCCTGGCTAGGCCTACTTGTTGAAAATTCATACTAGAGACTATCTGTGCGTTTTGTTTGGCTCTCCACAGACGACGTTCATGTGGAATTTGTGGGTGCGCTCTGCACTGAAGCAACTGCTGGCACAAAATTTGTCTGGGCAGCTTCGCGTAGCGTCGCTGTTGGCAGAGCTGATCCGGTCGGATTGCGGAACTAATCATAGGGGCACAGATAGGTGTTTGAAAGAGGTCGTCGGACTTCTGTCCAGTACGGACTTATTAAAGTGCTGCGATGCCCAGGAGGGGCATCCAGTGGAGGCTGACCCTCCGGCTTGCCACATTAGGGCTATCTTTTGAGGCTTTGGTTAGGGTTGCAAGATCTGATGGGTTGCCTAAGGTGGCCTAGTTTGGTTGTAGATTCAGTCTTGCAACTTGCAGTCTCGACCTTGTCCCGCTGACCGGTTTGCTCGCGGACCTAAATCCTTATGTCCGGGACGGGGGTTTGTTCGCGCAAAACGCTGTTGTCGGAATCGACGTCTAGGGGGCGCGCGGCTCTGGGCGATACCGGTTTGAAGTTCTTCCGAGCGTGGCAGTGGCGCGCGGGTCGCGAGTGAAAAGGCTCAGCAGTCAGTCGTCTGTCAGGTGTGTTAACAATTGGCACGCTGCCAATTAAGCGCGGGAACTCGGAATAATTAAGCGTGGACAGTAAAAATACGGTCTAGGAATTTGTGGCGCGTACCCCTACTGGAGAGCTTCCCCGGGACTTATTGGGTCCGACTCAGAATCTGTATAAGTGCATTCGAGAATATTAGCTAGTGCGGCCTCTGTATTCTAGAACTAACTGTTGCAACGCGAAACGGTAGTGACCTTTGACCCAGAAAATCCGTGCGCGTTTTGGGCGGTAACCTTATAACCAGCGATAGTTTTTGGCTTCTATAAGTTAGTAAATCGTACGATAGAGTTAAGTGACTGTCATCGTGACGAACAAAGAAAGTGACTGTGGTCCGGCGCCGAAGCAGTCGAAGCAGTGTGGCAGCATTTTGGAGCAGCCTGGAACTCGGCAGCAGCTGGTCGCCTATGCTCGACAAGGCCACACACATTCACCCCTCACTGTACACTACTCTCCATCCACTATTACACACACTCACGGCCTGCCCAAGCCTTGGTGCGAAGTTAGCTTCGGATAATGGTAAGTACTATGTCCTTCTAACGTCCTCCCATCTGGTTTAATGTAATTAGGAATTTCTAAGTGGCCACATTGAGGCCCGACCTACGTTTGCTCGGGAAGTCTTCTGCTCATGGGCCCCAGAGGATAGGATCCTTTAAGGGAGCAGCCGTAGGCCGTAACATATAATATACTCTGTGCTATAGATGTGTCAACTCGGAAAAATTACGACTCGAGTTAACTCGATTTTAAAAATTCACGTTACAAATTACTTTGTTGTAAATTTGGTTTTCTATCTAGCTCTTTGGTGAATTGGGATAACTATAATTACCAAACTTATTATGAAGCATTGAAATGAATGAATAGAGGATTTTTGCTTTTAACCTTAGTTATAGTAAGAATCTGTATTTAACAACAAAACTAGCTATATATCAGTCTTAACAAAACAATATTGGTCTAGCTTTAAGACGTAGACGTAGTACATAATCTATTAATAGTTTCATTATTACATTCAAAATAGTCTTAAATAAACAGAAAATTTTCAAATTCAAAATATTTATTGTAACAAGTGTTACATTTGGCATTAATTTAAAGTATGATGTATCTTACAACTTAACCACCCTTTGTGGGTATTAAAATAATACGCCTTTGACTGACATTGATAATAATTAATCAAAATTATAAAAGAAATTAAATTACATAGATTAGCAAATTGTTTTTGTTGTAGCTAAATACTCTTTGAAACACAAAGCGCGCATATAACGAAAGAATCGCGTTCTTTATCTTTTGCTGGCTCATTTGATCCGTTCATGTACAGCCCAAACTCGAATTAAGGAGATCGAACTCGAGTTTAGCGCATCTCGAGTTAACTTGAGTTCGTAACTTGAACTGACCCATCATTACTCTGTGCCACAGAACTACACTCCTTACACAGAAGCACAGAACACAATTACTCTTTATCTCCGTGCAAATAAGTGACAGTATCACAGAGTACCTTTGAAGTAGGGATGATCGATGTTGCAGAAACATCGATGATGACATCGATGTTGGCATCGACAGCTCAACATCGATGTTCGATATTTGGCCTACTCAAAACATCGATTTTGACCATTATCGATGTTTTTTGTTTCATATTTTTTCAAAATTATGTGAGTATACACAGCAAGGGAAAAAGTAACAACTAACTTGAATATCAATAACATAATATACAATATTTTAATATATACAATATTAAAAGCTATAATAAAAAAACTAATACTAGTAGCTTAATTAGCATACAGTCCTACTCCCCGCAGTATCGTGTCAAGAACGTTGGCTGCGTTTCCCCGCTGAATGGCTATACTTAACCTTTGAGCTAGAAAAGAACCAGCCCTCTTATCAACAGCAGCAACGACCAGCCGCGTATGGTGTTCCTTTCGGAAATTCACCGCACGTGGATCTCACGGACCGATAGTCTCTACAGCAAATGGCATAAATATGTAGTCATCTCTCAGAGACTCATATTTGCGCTCCTTACATAGTTATCAATTTACATAGAATAGTTATTATGCGATAACCAAAAAATAATAGCGATAAAAAACAACGACACTACAAAATAAAGCGAAAGCAGTGACCACTGTGACATTACAGGTGACACTAGACAGTTAAGTTTTACACGAAATAATGATATTTTTAGGATAGCGATGCGTTCAGGAATACTAAATTATTCAAAATTTAAAATCTTCAGAGGAGTTGCAAGATTTATTTGATATTGATTTCGCGCGTTAGCATTGTTCGCAAGTTCCCAATAATCGATTATGTATTCATTGACATCGAAGTTTTGATGTTTGACATGTGTCAACATCGATGTTAAAATATCGATGTTTTCATTTTTAACATCGATGGTCATCGACATCCCTACTTTGAAGTAATTTTAATTGAAATAATTGAACTGAAGTGAACTAACGCGTAGTGTCTGTTCTTGAGGTGGTGTTCACTGTTCACACTTCACAGAGTACTTTTTATAAATTGGTGGTGTTAAATGTTGAATTAAATTGTGTTTATTTTGTAACAATTTTTCAAGAAAATGGAGGAAAAAATAATGCTAGATGATGTGTCTAGTTCTTTAAGAGAGAGGGTGTTTTTCGCAGCAAGAGATGGAATGTCGTTAACTTTATATGCATTGTTATACGAAAAAAATACTGACGAAATCGATGATTTGCTAAATAGTGTAAGTACATATTTCTATTTCAACTCTAAATAAAAAATAAGTGAAAATACATATATCTTCTATTTATTTTTTGACGCAGTTACATGTCTTGAATTTTCTATTTATATCGACATACACATACATAATTCTTACCTTTTGCGTGTCATGCAAACGCGGTTGCGTTATTTAAAATTATGTGCGTAGGATATATAGAAGGTTAATTATTAGAATTCTTAATATTTGTTTGTTATCATGATGCTCTTGAATATTAAATTTTGTAAATGTAAGGCCTTGATCTAAATTATTTTGTAATTCAGTTAATATTGAATTTGCAATTTAAATTATAAAGGATTGCAAAACTTGAAGTAGATTTTGAGACAGAAGGGGAAAGCAGAGAGAGAGACTTGATGTAAACCCCCTATGATGGGGGGACATGTAATCTCAATTATTGAGAAAAATATAATATTTTTATCTATTACGCATTGGTTAGTATTTCCCAGTAGGTATCCTGCTGTGTGAAAACGTTAGAAAAAGAATGGGTACCTCTCTCTGATGGGTAACAATGTTTGCAATTTTAGGATGGCCCAAGGATCGCCCCAGCTTCCTCTTAAGCCAATGTCAGTGATATTAGTACTTTTATGTTTTTGACAAGGTTAACCGAAGTCAGTAATAATTCAGACCTCACTGCACTTAGTTTTTGCCTTCACTTTTTATACTTCTCTTACTAGTAAAAGGCCGGCACTCAAGAAACTTTCTTTCCCATCTGTTGTTCTCACTAAGTGATGGAGAAAATATATATTTATAAGTAATTTTATTTACATAACTAGCTGTTCACCGCGACTTCGCCCGCGTGTTATTTGGGGTTTGAAATTTTTTTGCGCGGAACTCTAATTCTTTTTCTAAAATAAAAGTAGCCTAAGTTACTTAGGCTACTTTTGTGACATCAGCTATCTGCCAGTGAAAATTCCATCAAAATCGGTCCAGCCGTTTCGGATATTAGCCGGAACAAACAGACAGACGGACAGACAGACAAAAACTTTAAAAATTGTATTTTTGTTATTAGTGCCGTATATACTTTCATATGCATTTAGTAAAAAGCTGTAATTTTGACATTACAAACAGACACTTTAATTTTATTTATTTGTATAGATGAAATGGATTAAGAATTTTATAGGTTAAATTATAGACATCCGGTACTCGCGTACGGGAGTGGGAGGGGGAGAGGAGGAGCGGTAGGGTTTTTGGGGAAGCCCCCCTACCCTTCCCCCTTGCGGAAATGTATAGTTTACGAGTAATAATTTTTTTGTAAAATCAAAACCTCACTTTTACACACAGGAATATTGACACATAGTTACTTCTGCAACGGCGTCGGCGCTGCGGAAACTGCAGCCCCTTTCGCCCCTCACTCCACGCCTACAGCTTTACAAAAACACTAGGGGTAGGGCAAACAAGACTACGTGGATTCGGGGTGTTCTGATTCAATTTTAGTACAGATTCAATCTATCTTATCTATAAAGTCAGGTTTCGCTAAACTGCTGTGATAGTGGTAAATGAAACAATGTAATTTTAAATCAAAAACAGAGCAGAAGTCGAAAGAACAGGGAAAACACCGCACTATGCACAAGAGAGAACATTCACGTGACTTCTAGAGAAACGGAATGACAATTGACTTTTGACATCATAGATAATATATTATATTTAACATTTACGGTTGCCCAAATTATGGCCGTCAACACCGTCCTGTTTCACACTTTTTTGACATCTAATCACAACACTATACAAAATTGTCATATTTGCGTTTCGTTATATGGAATTTTTAGTGAAATTTATTTTTGTCGTAATTAATTCAAAACGCATTGTCTAAGAACAGAAATGGATATCCATATGCACATGCTATCCTTATTAGAGAACATTATGAAAATTTATTTTTAAATATTTATAGGCAAAACTACATAATTAATTATATAATATTTTCTTAAATCCTGTTTTTATTTATATCACCCCTTCATTATTACACATCTCTCATGTGGACATGTCATTGACATTGCATATTGATATTTTTAGATTGCTTACCAACATGTAACATATTTCCTTTTTCTTGTGTTTTCTTTTATACTTTTGCTTTTAAAGCAAGTATATTAAGCATATTAAACAAAGGAACACACAAAATCATTTTGTGAATTAAGTGGTTGTACTTCTATATAACCTATTTTCCTTAAATTTGCATCTTCCTCTAAGTTTCGGTTATAAGGAAATTCACAATGATCATATTGAGTGATAAACATTGCCTATGTTCAATTTTATTATTTATTATCTAAATTCTTAAAAAATGTTTTGCTGTAACAAAAGAATATTGTGTAAATGTACATTTCAATTACAGGATGTGTGCAGCGATGGTGTAAAATGTACTCCTCTAATAGCAGCTGCACGTCATGGTAGGGAGGCAGCAGTCAGAATACTTCTTGAAAAGTTCAGGCCTCCAGTTAGATTAGAGACAGAAGGCACAGTCAAGTTTGATGAGTATGTTATTGAAGGTTAGTAGTAGGATATTTTTAAATTTAACAGTAATTTTTTTTTGCATTATTTTATAAATATTATCATACATTATATACAGCAGTATCTATAATAGGGATGTTACGGAAGTGGTTATATTGGAACCGAATTCGGAAGCGGGGAGTTTTTAAATTTTGTTTGTCGGAACCGGAATCGGAGGTGCAGGCAGAAGAAATGTGTTAAGGGCAGGTCTATTGCACTGTATTTTTCTTTTCAGTTTCAATTTTTTTGAATTCTTCGCATTCAGTGTATGCACAGACTTTAAATGACTTTTTAACGCAGTAGTCGTACCTCCCTTTTGTGAGTATATCTTCTCGCATATAAACACTTTGCTGTATTCTCAGAAACTTCATTGAAATAATTCCAAATGGTATTGATTTTGGCTTCATTGTCCGATTGAAATAAATTTGTTACACGTCAAATAAAACACTATTAAAACTAATCAAAAACTCGCATAGGTATAAATGAAGCGCGAACACAAAACATGCCAATTGCCAAATACGAAACAAAACATCAAGTTAAAGACTAATCAACTGAAGGCACGGGGGGAGGGAGGTTCCCGAGGCGACAAGTATAAAATTGTTTGTACACGCTGATCGCAGCCGCCGCCACCACTGTGCTTCGACCTCCGATATATTACTTCCGATTAAAATTTAACGGAACTGAAATCGGAATCGGAGGTGCAAAATCAATCGAAAGTTCCGACCTTTCGGAATTGGAATCGATCCTCCGTAACATCTCTAATCTATAATTCACAAAATATTTATACCAGAATTGTACATTATTTAACAAAAACCTTAACAAAACCGGCCATGTGAGAGATTAAATAACATGTACTGCCTATGTAGTTAAAGAATGGGATTGAAAATAGCGTCGCCTCTATTCATCTCACTTGCACACTGTCACTATTGATACTCACACCTGTCGGTAAAGACGTTAATTTGTGAGCTAGGACGCGTTTTCACAGTTTTCTTTATAATTATTGTTGATTTTGTTTGTTAATATTTTTCTATAAAATATTTTCATGCTATTTAGACAGAGTAATCATTTTTAAAACTGTCATTTGTTCTAGCGGGTCACTAGTCATAAATGTTATTTTAAAATTAATGTACCTACTTGTGTGTACAATTCTATTCAAATATTTTCTCATTAATAGAAAATTTCTAATTAATTGAATAATAGAATGTTATAACTATATACCGTTATTAGTGGGTTTTCGCTATTGGTACTGTGTTGTACATGTTGGCGGTACGGACTCAATGAGCCGCATTTCTAATCCCATTCTTAATCCATACATACTGTAAGTACTTTAAATATAATTTAATTTTATTATAATTTTTTAACGAATATAGCAATTCAAATTCTGTGTGCATTTCAAACGTCTTCTTGTTGCCATTATTAAGATTGAGCAAAAAAAAACAAGTCGGAACTCTCGAAAGATTCCACGCAGGATCCTCAAATGCTGTATACAACATCGTATCAGGTGACGAATCCTGGATATACGCGTACGAACCCGAAACAATAAACCAGTCACGAGTTTGGGTGTTCGAAAATGAGTTTAAGCCAACAAAAATTGTTCGTTCACGGAGTGTTGCAAAAAAAAAATGGTGGCCACGTTTGTCTCCAAAACCGGCCATGTTACGACTATTTCTCTTGAGGGACAAAGAACGGTTAATGCAGAATGGTATGCTAGCATTTGTTTGCCACAGGTCGTTTCTGAACTCCGTAAAGAGAACTGCAACCGCCGCATCATCCTCCATCACGACAATGCGAGTTCTCACACCGCACACAGAACAAAAGAGTTTTTAGAGCAAGAAAACATAGAATTATTAGACCATCCGACGTACAGCCCCGACCTAAGCCCTAATGATTTTTATACGTTCCCTAAAATAAAGAATAAATTGCGTGGACAGAGATTTTCATCACAAGAAAAAGCTGTGGACGCCTACAAAACGGCCATTTTGGAGACCCCAACTTCCGAATGGAATGGTTGCTTCAATGATTGGTTCCATCGTATGGAAAAATGTGTCAAATTTCGCGGAGAATACTTCGAAAAGCAATAAATACATTTTTAAATAGTAATGTTTTGTCACTTCCTTGATTCCCGAAATTTTCAGTGCCGCCCTCGTAGTTTGACCAGTATTAGACCCTAAGTATGTATTTCAACATAGTTTGATCAGTATTAGATGCTCAAAATGATTTTAGGAATTTTGGGGTTATTTAAAAAACGTTATTGCCTCCTGGCATCAATGAAACTGGGACCTGTTTGATATATTTAAAAAAAAAAGGATTCATGAAAATCATACCTAAAAATACACAGTTGAATTTTAGGTAATCTCTTCCATTATTTGATGCATCAAATGCTTATTGTGAATTCTTCTGTGAGTTATTGACACTATATTTAGATTTGTAGCTCAAGACTGTGCACTTAGATTTTATTCCTGTTGGCAATAACTTAAATTAGTATTTCCAATTTTAAGTAGATTTATTAAGTGATAGGCAAAAAAGTAAAATAAAATATCAGTTTGAAATAAAATATTAAATATCTATATTTATTTATTAATGTAACTTCTTATTACTCATAAACAGATACACACAATTTTCATTATTCTACTCAATTATGTGCATCCTAAATGCGGACATTAAAAAGTAAAATGTAGTATCTATCACTGTAAAATATTTTACTGTTGTCTCTGTTTGCTATTTATTTGATATTCTTTTTTTCTTTCTTATTATTTTTGATTTTTTTTTTACTTTTTTATCTAGAATGTCGTTTTATTGTTTAATTGCGAAGGAAATCATTTATTGTAGCTTCATCTATCTATTTTGTCCACGGATATCTACAGGTGGGGACCTGATGACCTAAGATACAAGTTTTACCTAGCTTAGGCACCAGTACTTCACCTAACAATAGTATTGTTTCAGATGTAAGCATATATTTTTATTTGTTTTCTGAATATATATTGTTGGTGGAAATAAATAAATAAAATAAACAAATAAAAAAAAATAATGTGTTATCCGCCGAACCAAAAAGAAGCACTGTGGTACACATACCTCTCAAATTTGCTAACAGGTTCTATTTTATTACTATGAAAAAAAAAAATTAAGGACATATTGAAATCGATGTGGGGAAATAAGAGAAGGCCTGTGCTGTTTCAGATTTACACAATTCTTTTATAAACACGAATAAATATAGAAAAAAAAAAACAAAATTAGATCTTTGTGTGATGGTTTTTTGATGGTATTTTTTAATGCGTCATGTTTTTTATAAAAAAAAAAATAATGTTAAATGACTTAGTTTGGTCTCATTTGCATAGCATTTGCAGAGCTAAAGTGCTTTTTTTTATAGAATAAGGGTGACAAACAAGCACACAGTCCACCTGATGCTAAGTGGTTGCTGTAGCCCATAGACATCTACATCTATCTTCGTTTGCGAATTAAAATGCAGATGCGTTGTCAGCCGTGAGGACTAAGATAGAATGCCTCTTTTCCAGTAAAAAGGGTCTCCGGTTCTCTACACTCACCATACGAAACACAGTAGCATTAAGCTGCTATTTTACGCTGGTATTCTGTGAGAGCGTGGTCCTTCTCCGGTCGAGCCGACCCATTCGTGCTACAACTATACTATTAATATAGCTGTAGCATGGCTCTACCACGTATAATCCTTGTGATATTGCCAGTAGCCTCTAAATAAGGACCTAACATACAGGTTTTACCTAGTTTAGGCACCAGTTTTTCACCTAACAATAGTATTGTTTCAGATTTAAGCACATACATTTTGTTGTTTTCTGAATGTATGTTATTGGTGGAAATAAATAAATAAAAAAAATAAAGTCGTGTTATCCGCCGAACTAAAAAGAAGCACTGTGCCGGTTCGGATTTACACAACTCCTTCATAAACACGAATAAATATCGAGAAAAAAAAAACTATATTAGATCTTGGTGTGATGTTTTTGATGGTTTTTTTTTAATGCGTCATGTTGTTTATAAATAAAAAAATATATAATGTTAAATTACTTAGTTTGATCTTATTTGCATAAAGTTAGTGCTTCCTTGTGATATTGCCAGTAGCCTTTAAATAAGGACAAAAGTGTTTTCAAAATAAGACAACTGCGATCGGTGATTCTTTACGGAAAGAACGTTGACTTTAATCGTTGTTGCATGTTGTGATATATTTAGTGACGCACCTTTCTCGTACAAAGGAGTTGGGATGGTCGCGAATGTATTAGTGAGTTAACCACACATTAAATGTGGGACTGATATTTGATGGTAATATTATATTCAATTATGTTATATTTTACTTCATTGACGCGATGGCGCGAACATATAAATATATATTACTTCTAATAAAAAAAATATCTTTATTGTAATATCTCATGTCTTTGTTTGTGAAATTTATTTATCACCAAAAATTTAAGTCTGGTTACCCTAGTCACTACTTTTCATTTCTGGCATCAGCCCAAAAACGTCTTTGTTTCCTTTGTATGAGTTATAGCAATTAATTCGCGGTAAGGTGTTATAAATTTGTTTGGCACTGTATTATGTTGAAAACGCGAGTCGCAGTCGACATCGCGTCAGCCTGTCGAAATCGAAAGTACATGTGATTTGATGACGTATATTTACATTTATTTTTGTAGAATTTGCGCGGGAATAATTTGGATTTAGAACCTTTGTTTCCGCGTTTTTTTTTTAACTTTTCATATCAATAATTTCGTCTTGGTTTATTGTCCAATAGCTACTTGAATCAACGATATAATATAATGCCTTGTAGGTATTTTTTTTAATTATATATTTTTTATAATATTTGATTTGAAACAATACAGGCTTATTTTTATATTTCCTTGTTTCCAGTTTTATTTTTATTTACTTTACATCATGTACTGCAATCGCCAATCTGCCAGCGATCTACTAGTGGCTACGGCTACGGCTGAATACATATTATTTACAAAACATACTTTTCGCGTGTAAGTATATTATTATGAGCAATTTATATTTTATATTTCAGGCGCAACAGCACTGTGGTGTGCAGCTGGAGCGGGACATTTAGGCATAGTCAAGAGACTAGTACGCGCAAAGGCGAATGTAAACCATGCTACAAAGACATTAAGCACACCTCTAAGAGCGGCCTGCTTTGATGGTCGCTTGGACATAGTGAAATACCTCGTACGTCATGGAGCCGATGTTCATAAAGCCAACAAATACAATAACACGTGTTTGATGATCGCCTCTTATAAAGGACATTTGGATGTGGTAAGTTTAGTGTTTCCTACATTGATCCTGACATTTTGTTTTTATTCATTACAAAAGTCCACTGTTAAACATAGCCCTTCCAATAGATTGCCGTATAGAGGGGATTTTTGCCATAATTCCTTGCTGTCTATCTCCTGGTTTGTTTCCAGCTGTCGCTTCTTACGACACTCAATGACGATGGGGTAGTGGATATTCTTACACCGCCACTTACAAAACATATGAAAATATAACAAAGTGCTATTATTTGCCTAAGAAACTTTATTTCAATTTTATCATGTTAATGGCCCAGGCAACAATATCTTGAATAGATCATTGAAAAATCCGTAACAATAAGAAAAGCATAAAATGATCATAATTATGCTAATCTAATTGTTACGGTGTATGTTTGGGTGCGTATCATACAAGAAGTGTACAATTACGTTCAAAATCGCTAAGCATTTTCGCCTTTAATACTCGCAAAAGTCGTAGGTCGATTGCTTTATACAGGCTGGGCCATCTGCTGGTTTCCTTTTAAATTACTTCTTTATTTTTACACAGACAGCTCATTCGCGCTCAACAAATTGACAGAAAGACACTATCATATCTCCGCAGTTTAAAATGAATCGATCTACGCTTGAACAACGTCGGGAAATATTGAAAACATTTCCAAAGCGAGTGCTATGTCGCCAAAGCAGTGTGCATTTAAAAAAAAATCGGTCGAAATAATGCAACAACCAGGCCTGCCGTACGCAAGTTTGTGAAGAATGTTCGCGAGATTGGCATGTTAGTTGATAACACAAGTAATCCTCGTGTTTGTCCTGTGCGCTCAGCTGGGGATATTGCTGCTGTTGCCGAAAGTGTGCGTCAAAACCCGTGGATTTCAACTCAACTCGCCTCGCCAACTCGTAAAGCCTTATACCATCAAAAATGTATTGCGAAATTGGGTTGAGAGGATGGGCTACTGCCAAGCCAGCCCAGGCAGCCATTTAAATGAAATTATATTCTTGGAAAGTTTACTCTTTTCGATAAAACAACAAACTTTGAAAAATGTTAAGCAGTGTTTATTTTAGAGCATTTTTAAAAAGAAACTAGCTGATGGCCCATCCCTTAGTTCGAAATAATTATATCGAATTATGTAGAAGGCGAGAATATTCTAATGCAAACATTCCCCTCATTTAATGCGAAAATGCTAGAACAATCGCGATTTACCCAAAATAGAAAAGGCTTTATCTATAATATATAGTTAAGGTTGAGTCTTGCTTGTATTAAAAAGGGTGAGTATTGTATATTCTTATGCCTACATAATTACTGGATATTGATCCGTATTACGTTTGACGTAAAGACTGATTCTTACTCCAACACATTTTGACTTGACAGGGAACATGGACCCTTATCCTATATAATAAGTCGAAGAAAATGTTTCTTCGTGTTTTGTTTGTATAAAATTATTATATTATATTGATCCTTATAACATTTGATGTAAAGACTGATTCCTACTCCAACACATTTTGACTTGACAGGGAACATGGACCCTTATCCTATATAATAAGTTGAGAAAAAGTTTCTTCCTATTTTGTTTGTATAAAATTGAAGAAAAATCTCTTTGATTATACTGCTTGTATCTGGCTGGTTTTAATATCAATACATATAGGACATTAAGAAAAGGAAAAATAAAAAGTAAAAAACGCTTACCCGCAAATTTTCAATTGTTTTTTTTTGTCCCAAAAAAAAAAAATGCGACCCAGTGTCAGTAAGAGTAGCACAAAGTTGCTTCAAGCGTTTTCAGCGCAGAAATTTTGATGTTAAAGAAGCAGCTTGTTATGGTCGCCCTCATACGGATAAAGTTGATGCCATTTTTGAAAAAGTGGAGCAAGATTGGCAAATTAGTAGTTACGACATAGCCGAGGCGTTGTGGATTAACCACGAAATAGTTTTGATCCATTTGAAAAAGTCTGGCTATACAAAAAAGCTCGATATTTGGGTACCACACGAGCTCACTGAAAGAAAAGTAATGAATTGTGTACTCATTTGCGATTCTCTATTGAAACGTAATGAAATCGAACCATTTTTAAAAAGGTTGTTCACTGGTGAGGAAAAGTGGATTATCTACGACAAGAACGTGAGAAAAAGATCATGGTCAAAGGGTAGTCAAGCTCCACAGACTGTAGCGAAACTCGGATTAACACGGTGATTCTGTGTGTATGGTGGGATTGGAAGGGCATCGTTTATTATGAGCTTTTACCGCCGCGCATAACCATCGATTCGGATCTTTACTGCCAACAACTAATGAGACTCAAGCAAGAAATTGAGAAAAAATGACCGGAATTGATCAACAGAAAAGGAGTGGTCTTTCATCATGATAACACCAGACCACAAACATATTTGGCCACTCCGCAAAAATTGAGAGAGCTTGGTTGGGAACTGTTAATGTATCCCTGTGGTCCTGTGTAATATGGTCCTGACCTTGCACCCTCACATTTTTACCTGTTTCGGTCTCTTCAGAATTCTTTGGGTAGTGTTAGGTTGATATCAAGAGAGGACTGTCAAAACTACTTGTCGCATTTTTTGTTCAAAATTCCCAAGTTTTCTACAGCAACGGGATTATGTCACTACCTATAAGATGGCAACAAATTCTTTTTTTTCTAGGATAGGGTGCCAAACGAGCACACAGTCCACCTGATGGAAGTGGTTGCTGTGACCTATAGAATCTACATTTATCCTCAATAAAGAATCAAAATGCAGATGCGTCGTCACCCGTGAGGACTAAGATCGAATGCCTCTTTTCCAGTAAAATGGGTCTCCGGTTCTCTACACTCACCATACGAAACACAGCAGTGTCAAGCTGCCATTTTATGCTGGTATTCTGTGAGAGCGTGGTCCTTCCCCGGTCGAGCCGACCCATTCATGCTACAACTATACTACTAATATAGCTGCAGCATGGTTCTACCACGTAACAAGTTATCGAACAAAATAGCACATATATGTTATAATTAAATGTAATTAAACTTTGAATAAAAAATGTCTTGAATTTGTATATAAGCTATGAAGAAACTTTTTCCCTGGTCTTATATGTAAAGACTGTGTAGTGGCGGTGGAAGAAGAGGGAAACAAACAGGAGCTGACCTAATAACAATAACCTAATAACAACTAAAAAATAAAAAAACTGCAATTGCGAACCCGCCTGCCAACCATGGCAGCTATCGCAAATATGGCAAATATCTTTCCTACGATGCAATCTATTGATCTATAGAGGTCAATGATCCTATGAGACTAATGAATATACAAAATTTGACCTGCTCTAAGTTCAAAAACTTTATTAAACAAAGTTTGTAAAAGTGTTATTATAATATTAAGGAATTAATGGATAATAACCCCCGGGTGGAAAACCGGTACTTGAAGTCCTTCGGAAGCTCTTTAATTCCGTCCTCCATGGTGGCATTACACCGGAGGCGTGGAGCAGAAGTGCGGTGGTCTTGTTCTTCAAGAAAGGCGACAATGCTCTCTTGAAGAACTACAGACCGATTTCCCTTCTGAGCCGCGTCTACGTGCTGTTTTCGAGAGTCATTACGAAAAGGCTTTAGCACCATAGACCACATATATACCCTTCGGCAAATTGTACAGAAGTCCGAGGAGTACAATTTGCCACTATGTCTGGCGTATGTGGACTATGAGAAAGCCTTTGATTCCGTCGAAATTTGGGCGGTGCTGCAGTCCCTTCAGCGATGCCAAGTTGACTGTCGGTATATCGAAGTGTTGAAGTGCTTGTACAGTAGGGCTACGATGGCTATCCGAGTACAGAACCAGAGTACGAAACCTATCCAATTGCAGAGAGGTGTAAGACAGGGTGACGTCATATCCCCGAAACTCTTTACCGCTGCATTGGAAGATGTTTTCAAGCTTCTGGACTGGAAAGGATACGGTATCAACATCAATGGCGAGTACATCACTCACCTTCGATTTGCCGACGATATAGTCCTTATGGCAGAATCGCTGGAGGACCTAAGCACTATGCTCAATGACCTCAATAGTGTTTCCCAACGGATAGGTCTTAAGATGAACATGGACAAAACAAAGATCATGTTTAATGTCCATGTCACACCTATGCCGGTAGTTGTTGGGAACACAAAGCTCGAAGTTGTTGACGAGTATGTTTACCTGGGACAAATAGTCCGACTAGGTAAGTCCAACTTCGACCGAGAGGTCAATCGACGGATTCAACTCGGTTGGGCAGCGTTCGGGAAATTACGGCACATCTTCTCGTCAGGTATACCTCAAAACTTGAAAACGAGACTGTACACACAGTGCGTGTTGCCAGTGATGACATATGGAACTGAGACGTGGTCCTTCACTGCTGGCCGGATGAGGAAGCTCAAGGTCGCTCAGCGAGCTATGGAGAGGGCTATGCTAATTACGCCGCGAGCGTCTTGCAGTTAACATCTGTGACAGTTTGCTCCGCATATAAATAAGTGCATTGTAGCTAAAAAGTAAATTACTAGTATCTATTTGGCAATTTTCTTAAAGTATTTGAACTGGGCTATCCAGTGGTGAACTCTGTTTTTAATTTCGCGTTGTAACATTCAAGTTATAAACAAATACATTTCAAAAAACTGTATTCGGCCGTTACGTACTGACCGACGACAACCCGCAGCGCTTTTGTTGCTGTGAGTCACCGTCACTTGTGGCTGGCCGGCCGCCGCGCTGTCGAGTGCATCAAGCTGTGTAGTGGACGAGATGACGTCACGCCAAGTAAACTGCGCGGGATGCCGTGGTGTTATAATGGAAGACAGCGCATTCATGAGGTGCACCAAATGTAAACAATACTACGATATTCTGTGTGCCAATTTTAAGGTAGAAGTATTTGCAACAATGTCATCAGAATTTAAAAATATGTGGATATGTTTCGAATGCCGTAGCAAAATACCTAAGCTTGATAATTCACATACGCCAGTGCGCCAGCAGTTGCGCCACGACACGACTGCCGTTGGGGATTGCTTGGATGTATCGATGCATACCCCGGATAA